CACGTTTGGCTTTAATCACGTGATCACGCTCCCTCCCGTAACCACACGCAGAGAGCGGAGCAGGGGATAATTGGTCTGGCGGGCGCGTAGCTCCTCCGGCACTGTCAACTTAGGAATGAAGGGAGCCCTCCTCTTTCAAGGACGAGGACGCCGAGTCCCCTACGCTCACAAAGGAGAGATTTGGAGAGATTAGTGATGGTGGGTGAGGAAAACGGGAGGGGAACGTTTTCTCATCACCATGTCTCGCCCTATTCGAGGGGGAGTTAGAGTTCTTACGCCAGGCCGAGGGACATTCGTAAGGATCCCGTTTCGAGGCCATCGGCGGGCCCCTCCACTGTCCAAAAACCAATATGTTAGAGATTGCTTAGACGTGATAACTCTAGAGGAAGAGAACAAATAGGGACTGGCACACACTAAGCACCTAAGTCAGCTTGAAGCCTAATGTCCAAATTAAAAAGATAATGATAAATCAAATGTCTCCCAACGAAAATAAAAGGAGCGATATAAATTTCAAGAAGATTGTCAACCACTTTGGCGTTCCTTCAGAGCACCAGTGAAGCTAACTAGCTTACGCGTCAAAATAAACAAAACAGGAGAGCATGCGCACAAAAAAACATGCACACAAGCATGAGGAATGCGCCACATCGATAGTCCAAAATACAAACGACATGTGGGCGATCGTACGGGTGTAGCATTATAGCCCCACGTGCCGTATCCGTGCGCACGCTTCCACCAGCATTGTTTCATGTCTTAGCCTAATATGTTGAGGGCCTACAAATGACGGCATTATTACGTTACACAAACTCGCGTGAACACTCACTGTCTCTTAATTAAAAGAGGATACTCCGCCATCACGGAGAGGACCGGGCCACATGATCTGGGGATTCGTGTCATGGGCTTCTGATAAAACTAGACTTTTGAGGGTAGGGCAAAATGGTGGGCTTCAGTTGTGGGGCATTTGACATCGGGTGCTTCCGTGCACCACCCGATCGTACATAGGGCATGAACTTTCTTTAAAGCGGTCTCCTTTGGGGAACTTAGCAGGCCACTGTGATAAGTGCTCGTATGACCGTTTGCTGTATAAAACACAGATTTCGGGCAAGTGGGAACAAAAAACAGAGAGGAAAATTTTCGAGGCGTTCAAGATCAGTGTAAAGAAAGATGACAGTTGCATCAGTGCTTCGTCACTTGTTTTATCAAATAAGGAATTCAGATTCATTTGGCTTGAGGTATAACAATGTGTGTATCAGTGGCATAGCCAGAAAATTGGTTTCAGGGGGTGTTTTTCTTTGCTTAAGCTGCTTGAAAGACACAAGAAAGAGAGGAAAAGAAATTGCCCAAACAGATTTTTGTTTGCTCTTTTCCGGTTTCTTAGCCGACAAAAATCCAAACTTTTTGCCACATCTCGTTCGTCCAATATTTAAAAATGGGAAATTTAATGTTAAACGACGAAAGAACGCAGCCATAAAATAGAATAATTGGCTTTGAACGAAAAAAAAGTCCGGACAGGCTCACAAAACAATTACGGTGCGTGCACTTCAATGCGGAACACTCGGGTATTCAATGACTGAAAACTACAAGAAAGTGCCAGAGAATAGTGAAGTTTAGAATAAAATTCAACATAAAAACTACAGTGCGCACTGAGCCAATGAGCAAGTGAAGCGTCACGCTCATTGTTCCTGCGCGGATCGCATTTTTCAGAAATTATCGTTCTATAGTCGTGTTTTAGGTTATTTCTGTTCTTCGCTGTCGTTTTACGAGAAAGTGGAAGATAAAAATACGAGTGTCTATCATTTTGTGGGGTCTAAACATTCAGTGGAAGCCGCCGTCGGTCGATAGAAAGAAGCGAGAGGACACTTTCGGTCCTGACTTGCATATTCCGGTGAATGTTCAAAAGCGAAGCTCTTTCCGCTCATTCACACTGGAAGCGGATTCGCGTTCGCAAAGCGGTTGCGAACGCGGTTGTATAAAGATCCAGTACAATTGCACGCGCACTCGATGACATCAAGTGCGCGTGCAATTGTACTGAATCTTTATACAACCGCGTTCGCAACCGCTTTCCGAACGCGGATCCGCTTTCAGTGTGAATGAGCGGTTATACTGCGTTCACCATTACGCTAAGACTAGAAGTTCCGCTTTCAGCGCGAGCTTTCTGCCCTTGCTAAAACAAGTGTGATCGCGCAGGCACGCGCAACCAAAGCATTGCCGAAGCCAGCGAGCTCGCGTTAAAGGCAGAGCGTCTGGTCTCAGGTTAGAATGGAGTAGCAAGCGCCCTGGGACGTTGAAGCTCTCAGGTATGACTTCAGTCTTTGGAGTCTCGAGAACCAACGTTCCGCTTCAGCGCTGCTAACCAGAATGGTGGCCAGGATTCGCAGCAGGCCAGGATTCGCAGGAAATAAGCATGTGGTGAAGTGCTTTTGTGTGTCGCTTGGTGAATCATTTGCGGTAGTGCTCTACAGCTTCGCTGGCCAACCACCTTCACCGAGTGGAATGGCTGAGAATGTTGTCACCCTTTTTGGTTTCAAGAGGGCTCTCTGTTGATATATTTAGGGTCCATGAACCGATTTTCTCTCCTTCGTTAAATAGTAGAAAGAATTAATCTTTGACGTTTAAGACGTTCATTGGTTTCTTCCTACATGCAAAAAACAAATAGACAAAACGAGCAGCCCTCGCCTTCCCAAATCGCAGCCAGAGTAAGTGACCACATAACCTGCCTGCGCTTATATGCCGCCAATGTTTATCATAGCCACAAACTGGGGTTGGCAAAGAACAGGGCGTGTCCTGAGTTCTATACATGGTTCGAGTTTGACTTTTTTAGTCATTCTTTGATTAATAACGAGTCACTGCCCGAATGCTCTCCGATGCTCTTAGTCACGAGCTTAAGTCTGAAACGTCTCCAATTGTCATCACAAGATGTACCCCGAGGGTACATTCAAATTGTGGTTCCCACGACACTTCGTCAAGCCTTTCGAAGGGTAGGCTGAAAAAATAGTCCTCTTGTATTCTTTGAATTATAACTTAACAGCATACTTTCTGCATTCATGACGTCGCGTCTGAGTATACATACCGCAGGACGGGCTAGGGACAGTATTCCTGTGCAAAGTGTTTGAACGGAGTAGGGTTGCATGACCCCCTTTATGTTATGCATGTATCTTGAACTCATGGGCCCTTCTGATGAGCACACGTTGGTTACTACCAGAAACATGGAAACATCTTCCCTCGGGAATTACAGGAATCTGTGGATTCCCCTAAAAAAACGCAAGTGGAATGACAAAAAAAAAAAAAAAAGAAAGTCCCGCCAACAGGCGGAACTTCTTGTGTTGGTCCTTGAGGAGCAGAGGGCGCAGAGGCAAGAGCTTTGTGAAGCAAGAGAAAACGCACAGGGACCGGCAGCGCCAGACTGCCATCATGTAGGAGTCTAATAATCCGCAGCGAGAGCTCATTCGGTTTCTAAAATCTAAACCTCGAAAGTAAAAAAGTAAACGCAAAGAAATAGCCTCCTTTTTATTTGAGTTCAAACTACAAGCCTTGGCATACAATGCTTGCTTTGATCGTTGTCCGGCCCTGAACCCCAATTCCAGACGTTTTGTTCAAGGCGGAACAAACACAATCTGTTTGGGATAAACGTCATACCCACTTGTATTTTCTAAAGTTGCAGGTGAGTTGATGCTGAAATACAGGTACAATACTATTCTTTTAATGATGCGCATCACATGTGACTACACCAAAAATTCAGTAAAATATTTTTCTTTCAAGAAGACATCAATATGGGCAACCATGTATAGAGAAAAGTTTGTGTTTCTTGCGCACATGAAGAATTAGGATACTTGGTTGTAGAAATGTCGCGAACCTGCCGAGATTCAAGTTCGGAGAAGTTCGACTTTCTCGAACTTTCTATGCAAAGTTCGGTTGAGGTTCGACTATATTATGCACATGCGCAAGAATCAAATCTAGTCGGCGTCGCCTGATTGATGAGGGGTGTAGCAGCTCTTTAGTAAACTAGTTAAATCCTTAGAATAGTATAGTCTCTCTTTTATTTATTTTAGAATTATCATCTATACTTTTAAACTGTAAAACTAGATGTCATAATATATGTTTTTACAAAATATTAAAAAGTTGCGTAAAAGTCTGGCAACACTGTGCATGTACCAAACTTTTTCAAACCTCACCGAAAGTTGTAAGGTTTGACGAACATGTCGAACCTCAAGGTTCGGCGTCGAATCATAGGTTCGACAGACGTTTACGACATCCCTACGTGTTTGTGCATTAATGATACTTTTTTGTTATTTTATCAACATGCACCCATTTCAAATGCAAAAAAAATATCTGATGATAAAAAAGGAGCCTCCATGCGCAGGTGAGATGCACCGCCATTTCTCGGCACTACTACAAAATTGAACGTGGCCAAGGCGCATGCAGTTGGAATTGTGCAAGTGAGCAAGTGGTCGTATGTATACATAACCTGCGTGCCACATCGTTGCACCATGTTGATTGCAGGACCTCCTCTCTGGTGCCCAGTCTTATGCTCGTCTTTGTCTAGGAAAACAAATGGGGTGGTGGGAGACATGCTGCAGCAGGTACGTGCTCAGCAGCAAGATACTCACAATGGCAGCTGATATGATATCAAAGCACGCCATGTATAGAGGAAGTTGGGGTAGAAACTATGTGGACAAGATGCTTTCTTCTTGAGGTGACAACGACTATAGTTCGGTTATTATTATTTTTTTATTCCTAATCTGTCCCTTCTATACACATAAATCAAAATGCAACCTAAAAATGCAAAAATAAAAGTGGATTCACGCTGCTTCCCTGAGACACTCTGGAAGACAATGAATAAGCATTAGGCAAAATATCCTAAACACAAGCACAGTTCGCCTGCAAGGGAAAAGACATTTCTAAGCATATTACAGTGCCTCTGCGGAGGCTTGGTTGCGCCTGGGGGGCGGGTTAGCCTCGATGTACGCAACAAGTGGAGCGCGGAGTGTGGTGCCACTGTCCGTCTAGGCCTTGGTCTTGTGGCTCGACTGCTCCAGCTTGTCGACCTCCTCGACTTTCCGGGCATCTTGGACCCACTGCTTCTCCGCGCTGTCGTTGAGCGTCTCGCAGACGTTGTGTAGTATGCAGCACGCTTGGACAACAGCATTGGCATTGTCGATGCGGACCTCCATTCGCTTGAGGATGATCCTGAACCGAGCTTTCAGACGCCCAAATGCGTTCTCCACAACACGTTTGGCTTTGGAGAGGGCGTTGTTGTAGTAACTTTTGTCCTGAAGGTGATCCAAACTGGGGGGGAAAGGCTTTGTCAGGTTCCTGGTGAGAGAGAATGACTGCTCGCATTGGATGACGAGTGGTATCTCTGTGTCGCCATTGCTTCTTGGCACGATAACCTGGTAGTTCTCGAGCAGATGCCCCAACGGATATCGCCCATACACATTGTAATCGTGGCACTTGCCAGGGAGGCCCACGCTGATATAGCGAAACAGGTATCTGTGGTCCACCAACGCCAAAAGGATAGCGCTGTCCCTAAAACAAAGTGACCATATGCGAACAAGGAACAATAGAAGTACTGCCTGTAACCAATTTCGCTAAATTGTGTGCTCCTGAACGAGATTGCCACTTCTTGTTAAATAGAGTCTCTCAAGCCCAGGCAGCGGAATGGACATAGCCACCATGAATGCCCTACACCCGCTGGCAACTTTCTGTGGCTATTAAGTCTATTGTAACCAAAAGCTGCGCCCTTCACTTCGCGCGCGTTTTCCTCCTCTTTTCGTTTCGCCACACTAAGTTGTCCGCGAGTGTTGTGACACAATGTGTGTAATGCTGCTCGGGGCTGTAAGGTCGCAAGACAGCAATAATGGTCCCTGGTATGACTGCACCAGTGTATATTTATGGTTTATCCGTAAGCTTGAAGCGCGATTTATTAAAAATCTTGGTTTTCCAAGGACCAAATTACACTGAACGGCCCAGCTTTGCTGGTGCGAAAACGCTCATTACCCCGTAATATTATATAAAATGAACAAAGTTACCCCGAGAAAACGAGTGTCGCTGTTTGCACACAATCCTTTGTAATTTCGGTAGTCGACAGCCGAGTCTTTCGGTGACTACACAGGCCGGCGGAAGCCGTCAAGAGCACCGATGGCTTTCGAGAATCCCAGCACTGACTGGAACTCGCGCATGTAGTGTTCAAGATCCTCCTTCCAAATCATTGAGACCGTTCTTGCCTTCAGTTTCTCAGTCATTACGTCGCAGAACTCGCGGTAGCTTTCGTTCACCACCGATGGTCCAACAGAGAAAAAATGGGGGATTGTTCGTTCCTCCGCCGTGGAGCAGGGCCTGTACAGGCTGACAACTGCTCTCTTCTCCACTGTCATTGAAGTTTTCATGGTGGTGACTTGGCGTTGTATCGACGAGCGGCAAACGGTCACGAGGTACCGGAAGGTGGTCGAGGACATACAAAAGCAGGTAGATAAGTGACGAAAACAATCCCCGGAGAAAGGGAGCAAGATAAACAAAGGACAAACGCTAATCTCTTAACACAACTGGGTGACTGGTGCGCGACCGAAAAAATCCGCCTGGTCCGGGTATCGAACCCGGGGCCTCTCCATTAAAAGTGTAGCGCTCTACCAACTCTCCGGACCAGACCCGGACCAGGCGGATTTTTTCGGTCGCGCACCAGTCACCTAGCTGTGTTTGGAGATTTGTGTTTGTCCTTTGTCCCACTTATTCCCTTTCTCCGCGTATTGTTTGCGTCATTCTTGTCCAGCTCGCTTGCACCTTTGCATTTATTTGCATTATAATCATAACTTTAAATTGCAAGCTTCACCCTTGTTGGAGTTAGACTGGTGGCAGCTGATAAAACCCGTTTCCTCAACTGAAGTCTAACCCCTGGTTAGTTTAGTTGGTAGAGCGCTCCACCTGTAATGGAGATTCAATACCCGGACCAAGCGGATTTTTTCGGTCGCGCACCAGTAACCTGGCTGTGTTTTGGAGATTTGTGTTTGTCCTTTGTCCCTCTTGTTTGTTTTTTTTTCCTCTGGGGATTGTTTTCGTCATTCTTGTCGAGCTCGCTTGCACCTTTGCGTTTAATTGCATTATAATCATAAAGGTACCTAAGTGTTGTTCGTCCATTCTAGGCAGCGTCTCCTTAAACCACCTCCCCGACGAACGTACGCTGACTTCTCGCGAAGGATCCTCGTTAATCGTTGCTCCAAAAGAGCGGCGACAGTGAAGCAATTGTTGCCACAAGCTGCCCCTCAAGTCCGTCCGCTTCCTCTTCGGTGTCTTGGATGCTCTCCTCGAGCTGATTAACTCGATCCGCTGCTGATGCAGTGACTACCAAATGCCTATGCAATCGTCGTCCTCCATCGCAAGACGATCGTTGCCGTCATTCATCGCTTCCATCACTACGGCGGGGTATTTCACGGACAGTTGTCGATCACGTTTCGCACCTTGTATGCCTCAACCTGCCTCGACTGCGTACTGGCGTGCGGTCGTGTATCACTAGTGCGTGGTTCACGTTATAGATTGCAGGCTAGCGGTTGTACTGCACTGGCTATATTGCTCATCTACAACGAGTGACTCGTGGCAACTTTGAAGTGGCTGACCAACTACACGCTTTATAAATATTCACACAACCCCAAATATTCGACTGCGTATCTCCTTTGGATTTGGGTTCCATAACACGGCGAGCAGTTTGACCACACCAGCGAGACATTCTAAAGAAAAGCTGATGTTTTACTTGCACCACGAAATAAAATCAGAAATACAATTATTAAGTAGTTTTAAAACAATATATTTCACGTATAATAAAGAATTAGGCATATGTCTGAAACCTGTTTCGACCAAAATAATATATTGCTCGGTCACCCCTCCGTTTAGACGGGCTATCCCCGGTACAAGAAACATCAACCGTAAACCCTCAGTGTATTTGCCGTGTGATCCCGAACGCCATTTGATACAAGTGTCTTTAGCTAACGGACCTAAGCTACAGGTGCTTTAGGCAGCCCGTGTGAATAGGGTATTAGACCGTTCACCATGAACTAGGACACGACGTTTTGGCAAGGCATTCCGGCAGGCGAGTTCTGGTCATCACGTTCTGTGATAATCGGGATGCCCTGTGTCCCCCCCGAAAGGCTTGCCCTCGATCATTTGGGTATGAAGTTATAAAAATCCTCAAAATCGGTGTGACATTCTGTGTTGCTTAGCTAAAATGCCTCGAGCGACACAAAAAAAAAAGGGAAGATTTGCGAATTCTAGTTTGGAAAATTTTTGGTGTCGATTATCACTACTGTTTGAGGACAGCCGCCGACGGCAAGTAAAGACTAGCGGAAGTTTTAGTTAAGAAATAATGTAATTGTCTCCACTTTCACCGTATTTGTGTCCGCGTTTTACGTCCAAAGTGCAAAACATGAAAACCGCGTCTCCAGACTCTGTTTGTCAGTGTATTTTGAAGTTTTTTGTTGACAACTCCAATCCCACTAGGAAACAAGTTTTTTTGTCCCCGTGTTCTGCGTCGTGTCCGCCATGTTGTGCGGCAGACTCCACCAAATAGGCTGTTTGTCAGTGTCGTTTGTCGTTCTTTCTCGTGTGTCGCTGTTGCTTGTTTCTGTTTGTCGCTCTTGTGGGACGCGGCTATTAGAGGGCACGAGGAACGCTACGGCCGAGACGTAATTGAGGCCTGCAGGATTTTCGCTCCCGGCCGGAACCTAGCGTGCCCCTCCCTCGCCCTGTGTAAGCCGGAAATCAATTTTCTTACTCCGGATATAAGCCGGGCAGGTATGTCACCTGGTCCGCATTATGCCTGGACAGACGTCTGTCCCGCTGGGGTTCCCTCGTGTTTATGTGCTCGTTCCGCGTTTTCCCCCCAACTGCACTCCCTTATTCTTTATTCTTTATTCAGAGAATTCCTGCAGCGCCTGGAAGGCATTATTGCAGGGGGCGAATAATAACGAAAAGAACCGCCTCCGCCTTCCCCTCTCACTTTCTCTCGCCACTGGCTCTCTTCGCTTCGTCTTCTCAAACGAGGATTGCTTGGCTTCGCCTTCACAAAATAAACGGTGTGAACTGAAGGTATGCACATGTCTGTCCCCTTCTCTTCCTTTTGCAGTGTTTTTATATTAGTATCTGTGCCAGCACGCTCGTCCAACTCTCTTTTCTAAATTCAATAAAGGTACGTTCTGAAATTTCGGCATCTTGTTCACACCGCTAGCGCTACATGCGGATAGTGACGGAAAGTTTGAATGTCGAACCGTAATATATTATCGGTTCGGCTCGTGTTCGGGTTCACCGCATTCCGTCTAGTTCCGGTTTAGTTCCGGGAAGCAAAAATAACCGGTTCGGCCCGGTAAACCGGTTGGAATCGGTTCGAACCGCTGAATTGAGGATATATTTTCCGCGTTGTTCTGGCTATAGGGACTATTTCCGCCGTGAAACGATAAACGATATACTTTTTTTTTTCTTTAGCGTTCGTATAATGCACTCTGATTTTCACGTACCAAAAAAAATGAAATTCCGTTATTCAATTTTTTACAGAAAGCTAAATAAAAAATATATATTAACATACAAAACGTCGTGTTTATACGGATCAACATCCTTTTGTATACCAGAGTCACATATATTTCACCTTAATAAAAGTCTGTCGCGAAATGTGGTAGGTCGCCTAAAATACTCGTGATTGGCATAACTTTGCTTCTCAGGAATAAAGGTTAAATCGAAGTTGTGCCCTTTAACTGAAGAAATACAGTGCATAAAATCATGAAGCGGGTACCTCGTTGTCATATGTCTCATGAACTGTGGTTAACGAAAAACTGCTTCATAACATATATATGATGACGACACAACTAAACGCAATAAAATTAGAAAAAAGTATAACGAAAGTTTTAAAACAAGTCATTTCAGTGTACCTTCTATAGAAACACTGAGCGGCAATCACAACACTTGTATTGCTAGCCAACATTGTTTACACTCAGCACAGTGATGCAGGCAAAGAATCATGCAGAAAGGCGTGATCAAACTTTTTCACTCTAATCTATGAGCACCTTCGTACTCAGATCGAATCTGGCCTAAAATAGCGCGTATCTAAGTGAACATTTCCTTATACAGAATGAACTGTCATAGCCGGGCTGTTGAGGTTTGTTCTTGAAAAAGTTCCGGTCCATTTATTTCCAAATAAGCACCATCCTTGCCAATCGACGATTGTTCGTTGGAAGATACAAAGTTGTATTTCATGCTCTACTTGACATGGCAGGTAATTAATTAGTCACTTTCTGACCGTTTGCGTGCGTAATCTTCATAGTTCCGTCACGCGCCCCTGTGTACTTTTGTATTTGTCCAGCCCACACACACACACATGTACAATTTCCGTTAATTAAATATATTTTTATTATCATCAATTTATTTGATTGTATGTAGTTCACATAACCGCTTGAAACCGACCCGGTAAGACGATACTTGGAAACACGATCGCTGCCGAGTCTGCGGAAACGTAATTTTTTTGCTCGCTGTTTGGCGGTGTGAAACACCGGGTTGCAGGGTATATCAATTATTACTTTATGCTTACATGAAAGATGGGAAGGCAGATACACGAAGTGTGCAGAATGAGAGGCAATAAATAGTATGTTTCTAAATAATCCCATACAAAACGCTTTAGTGCAAGGGAAAAAAAGAGATACAAGATACATAAATGCAATGATATTCCTAATTATTCATAAATAACGGGAATGACAGAAGAATAATCTAAGAATCCTATTATAAATCACATTGGCGTATCAGCATGATTGAGTTCAAAACTTCCCAAATTCAGCCTCGGCAAGAATATTATACTATTTTTTACGTGCACTTGTTTTGGGCCCTCTCTTTACAACTCTGTGCTTTATCAGTCGTGCCCTCTAACATTTAATTAGGCTGCCGTAAATCATCGCGAGATTACTACATATAGCGAACATCGCATTTCAGCAGAAAGCTGAACTGCTTAACATGCTTTGCACGTGACCTCATTGAGCTATTGCTCGTGGCCATTGCGATTTGTTCTTGCTGAGAAAATAAAATTTGATGGTACAAAATGCACGCGGCAGAAGGATCGCGCTCAGTGCAAGTCATGCAATAGAGACATGCAAATTACTTTTGTTTGGTTCAGCGTCCTGAGGAATGGCGCGAGTGTCTGGCACCATCAGCGCCCTCTGGGAAGAGTATTTTTTGGAAACAAAGTAGTTTACGAGGCCACGATTTTTGGTCTCTGCCG